ACCAGTTTGGATCCCAGGTGCGGACATGGCACCGCTCGGCAAGCCATGCTGTGGTAGGCGTCCCACATAATAGAGGAAGATGGGCAAGGGTGTTAGCTCAGGGCCAGTCTTCCTCAGCAAAAAGAAGAGGATTGGCAGCAGATGTTAGCTCAGGGCTCATCTTCCTCAAAAATAAATAAAAAATAAAGTGTGTTTACATTGAATATAGAATTCTGGGTTGACAAGTTTTTTTTCTTTTCACTTTTAAACTGTTATTCTGGCTTCCTTAGTTTCTGATAAGGAAACTTCAGTCATTTCAAATGTTATTCCCCTGTATGTGGTTGTTATTTTCTTTTCTGACTGCTTTTAATATTTTCTTTTTATCTTTCGTTTTCAACAGTTTGGTGCCTATGTACCTGGGTGTGGTTCACGTGTATTTACCCTGCCTGCGGTTTGTTCAGCATCTTGAATCTTTACGTCTTTCACCAAATTGGGGAGATTTTTGGCCATTATATCTTCAAATGTTTTTTTCTACCCCATCCTTTCTATCCTCTCCTTCTGCCACTCCAATTACTTTCATGTTAGATCTCTGATTATTAATTCAGAAGTCCCTGAGCTTTGTTCACTTTTAAAAGTTTTAAAATTTAAAAGATGATTTCCCCTTTTTTGTGCTATTGATCTATCTTCAAGTTCACATACTCTTTTCCTCTGTCATCTTTATTCTTCTATTAAACACTTCCAGCAAATTTTTAATTTCAGATATTTTATTTTTCAACTCTAGAATTTGTTTGTTTTCTTTATCATAGTTTCTATTTCTCTGCTGTCGATGCAAATAACCAATAACCATTCTATAGACAAGAGAGATAAGGTGGATTTTACCTGAGCCAGGCTGAGAACTATAATACAGGAAGGCAGTCTCCACAAAGGAAGAAAGCATTCTAGGGGCCGGCCCGGTGGTGATACAGTTAAGTTCACTCGTTCTGCTTCAGCAGCCTGTGGTTTGCCTGTTTGGATCCCAGGTGTAGCTTGTCAAGCCATCCTGTGGCAGGCATCCCACATATAAAGTAGAGGAAGATGGGCACAGATGTGAGCTCAGGGCCAGTCTTCCTCAGCAAAATGAGGAGGATTGGCAGCGGATGATAGCTCAGGGCTAATCTTCCTCAAAAAAAGAAAGAAAGCATTCTGGAGAACTGTGGTTTTCAGTACAGTTTTACGCTTTTTAGAACAGAGAGCATACATCAAACATGCCCAGGAGACATATTCATCAATGTTTCAAAGAGATACTGTGTTGCAGATTAGCAGGTCAACACGACCCTGCTGTCCAGGAAAGGAAACTTGTCTTCAGGAGAGCTGATACTAGCACAGTAGGAAAGGAAGTATGCATCCTTATCTTCAAACAGTGCATCCTTTTACTTTGAGATAGTGTTACATGCACTCTTTACTTTAATAGTTAAAGCAGACATACACTGTATGTTGGATAGGCCATAAGTCAGGCTTCTTTAGTTCAGCCCAAATCAGGTTCAAACCAAAATAGCTACCCCATATACCTCAATATGTGAAAATTTTTTGTCACTGCTGATGTTGCCAATTTTGTTCATTTATTATAAGCATATTTTTCTTTACTTCGTCATGCATAGTTATAATAGTTGTTTTAAAATCTTTGCCTGCTAATTCCAACCTTTGGGTAATAGTGGTATTGGTCTCAATCATTTTTTTCTTGAGACCAAATCACATTTTTCTGAATTTTTTTTTTTATGTCTATCAGTAATTTGGATTATCTCCTGGATATTGTGAGTGCTATCTTCTAGATTCTGATATATATATTCCCCTGAAGACTGCTGTTGTTTTTGTTTTAGCACATGACAATCTTGTTGGGATTCAGTCTGAAAACTGTGTCTCTTGGTTGTCACCCCAAATCTCAGTGTAGTTCTTTTATCTCCAGTTGGCTGCTTGCAGTCTGCTCCACGTGTGTGTGTTTCAGGGATCAGCCAGAAGTCTGTTCAGTTTATATACAGATTTTAGGCTCCTACTCTTTGGTTCTTTTCTTTCTAGGACCCTCAGACAAACATCGTCCAACAGCTTTGGCTGCTCTGTCCTTTCATTATTCAGGCCATAAAGCCCACTGATTTCTATTTGAGGTTTAGCCGCCTTGTGAAGTCACTGAACACATTTGTCCCAGACTAAAACAGGAATCTCATTCTGCATTAGTTCCTTCTTCCAACTTTTGAATCCCCTCCAGAATCCTCCTACTTTTGTTAATTCTCCAGAGTCTTCAGGTTGTTGTTGTGTTTTGTCCATATTTTATCTAGAGTTTATAGTATCTGTGGGAGTCAGTGATCCAGTAAGAGTTTGTTAGATCATACCAGGGTTCCTGTGCCTCCGTTTTTCAGAGCAAGCAGTCCATGTAAGGCTGATTCTTCTAAAGCAAAGTCATCTCTGCCTCTTCTTGGAATTTAAGGAATTCCTTAAGACTTCACTTGCTCTAGAATATATATTTTTATGATTTCCCAACATAGTACCCTTCATGAGTTGACAATATAATATAAAGAAAAAAGAGTATGAGTCGGGCATAACTCTGTTCAAATCTGGGCACTTCCACTTACCAGCCACATAATGTAGCAGACTAGCCACTTAATCTCTCAAAGTCTTGATAGCCTCATCTGCAAAATAAAACATTCCACGGAGTATCAGGATACTAAAATGAGCTTCTTCTCAATATGCTAGAACACCAGGGATCAAATTCCAGCATGAGTGTGAGTTAGATCCCATCTGCAGAATTTGAAAAGGGAATATGCACATCTGATCAATGACTCTAAGCTCTTGAATCAGATCAAAGATAATAAAAAAGGTGATCAGGATGTATAGAGGAAAAATTGCTGGAGTAGTTTCTCTAGAAAGCACTATTGCTGTGCTCTTTACGGGGGAAGGGAAAACAGAGGCAATCTTCCTGAACTCAAGGCTAGTAAGGCAGGCTCATATGGAACTTGAAATATGTTTGCTATTGGAAGACACAGGGGACTGGTGCTTGATCCATGCATAAGGAAGCTAACATGGCTGCGACAAGAAGATGGAGTGGCTAAGTTGAGGTCAGTCCCCATTTTCAGAGTTTTTGGGGTGAGGAATATGTGATTGTTTTCCCATGGACCATATGTGGCCTATGAGAAAAAGAGAGAGCCAATGTGGGGTCATTCTGGGTCCTATCCAGTAGAGTGATCTGGAAAGAAAGAGGACCCTTAGCAAGGAGAAGAAAGAGAACTCTAGATTCACAGGAACTGAGGAAGGAGTAGCAATGACCACCCAGAGCAGAGAAGCAGCTGCTTAGGTCAATGTGCATCCATGGGAGAGGGTGCCAGCAATGGGAATCTCTAGAGAAGCTATGTTGGTGCCCAAAGGAAGAAGAGTTAGTTCTCATGCCCTGCCAGACCAGGGTGAAGCCATCCCACCAGGTAAGAACAGCCATACCTCTTTATCCCTTGTGCCTTGGCAATGGGGGAGACACAGCAGCTGGGGTGTAGGGGAGGAAGTGAGAGAAGGAGAAAGCTCAAGAGCAAATTACACTCTTTTCCTTAAAGACAGGCAGCTGCCGACTGCAGCCCTTAGCTTGGAGTACAGGGAGAAGTCTCCCCTATGAATGAAGTTGGAAGTGTTTAACTCATATACTCATATTCTAAATGCTATTTTGAGGCTCTGTTTTGAGTGATGGTAGGACTTTCTGTCCCCAAGAATGAGCAGAAAAGTCACAGAATTGCCTGTAGTTTCTATTCAGGGCAGGGCAAGATTACCTAGTGAATACATTTTAAATGGATGGTGGGAGACAAAAATACAATGTTTCTGATGATCATAGATGGTTCTTAGTCAACATGCTGTTATGTATTTTAGTGCTTGGCTAGTAGATTCACAACAGATGTTGATTCTTGACCATCTTTTCTGATCTGAAATCCACATCTTGAAAACTGTAGGGGAACTGAATGTCCCACCCCAAAATGTGTCCCTTTGGCTTGATTATTATTTTTTTTTAAAGATTTTATTTTTTCCTTTTTCTCCCCAAAGTCCCCCAGTACATAGTTGTATATTCTTCGTTGTGGGTCCTTCTAGTTGTGGCATGTGAGACGCTGCCCCAGCGTGGTCTGATGAGCAGTGCCATGTCCGCACCCAGGATTCGGACCAACGAAACACTGGGCCGCCTGCAGCGGAGCGCGCGAACTCAACCACTCGGCCACGGGGCCAGCCCCTGGCTTGATTATTTTTAAGAACAAAAGACTCAGGAAGAAACTTTGACCTCTCTAACTGCCTAAAAGAATTTAAGATAGAAGCTCTGTTCCAGGAAGGAGCTATCACCATAGATAACTATAATATAATATGATCCAGTTGTGGTGGACAGGGAGGAACCTAGCAAGGCCCATTTAATCAATGTTCTCCCCATGTCCCATTGTCTCTGCAAGGCATGGCAAACATTTGTTTACCAAACATTTGCTTTTCCATCTCCATGTGAATTGCCTTCCTCCCCGTTGAAGTCCCAAACCACCGCCCCCAACATTCTCCTTCGTCTTTAGCTGTAAGTGATATTTCAGGTGGTGGCTTTGGCCATTTTGGTGAGTTACTCAGTTTTCCTGGGTTTCTCCCATGTATACGTGTTATTAAACTTGTTTGATTTCCTCCTGTTATTCTCTCATGTTAATTTAATGTTTCGACCAGCCAGAAGAACCTAGAGGATAGAGGAATATTTCTTCCTCTCCTGCAAAACCATATCTTTTGAGGTGTAACAAAGGGTGGTTGTTAGCACAGGTATTCGCTTCCCTGTGGGAGGAAACTGCTAGCGTCCTCCTCTCCCTTATTCCATTAGCATATATTAGTTTAGCAGATTATCTGGAGTTGCCCAATGTACACAGTACTTGAGAGGTAGCCTTAAAAGGCAGGACAGGTCCCTGACCACATCATATGCCCAGAACCAGGCAAGATGCAAGATTTTTTATACAGAGGGCCCTTACTTGCTACAATAAAGTATGTTTTTCCGTTTTTAGGAAACTAAATCTCTTCAGGTGGATTTTGGATTCCTCAAACAATTGGTTCAATTGAAATTTGAGGACCGTCTTAAAGAGGAGTCTTTCAATCTCTTCACTGTTCTACATGACAGGATCCTCGCAATGGAAAACCATTATCAACAGGTAGAAGTTCTCTCATTTCCTTTCTTTTGTGTGTATAATTGATCTTGTGCTGAGATGCGTATGCACGCAATTGTGAAATTAGCAACTTGTGAGAGCAATTTAATTTGCATATATTGTGTTTCATATAATAGCTAGTAGATATAGCTTTACTATGTATTAAGGACTTCTGTAAGTACGCTGAATACCAACTCATTTAATCTTCACATTAACCTCATGAAGTAGGGAAAATTGTTATCACTCTTTTAGAGATGAGGAAACCGAGGCACAGAAAGATTCATTAGTTTGCTCAAGGTTACCAGTTAAAAAACTGGCAGCATTTAGGGGCCAGCCTGGTGGTATAATGGTTAAGTTTGCACGCTCCACTTTGGCAGCCCAGAGTCCACAGATTCAGATCTCAGTGCGGACCTACACACTGCTCATCAAGCCACACTATCACAGCATCCCACATACAAAATGGAGAAAGATTGGCACAGATGTCAGCTCAGTGACAATCTTTCTCAAGCAAAAAGAGGAAGGTTGGCAATAGGTGTTAGCTCACGGCCAATCGTTCTCACTAAAAAAAAAACCCAAAAAACACCCGGCAGAGTTTAGATTCCCAGCCAAAAAGTTTGATGCTTGAGATCTGGTTCCTAACTACAATTTTATATGACCTCATTTGTGCTTTAATGGCTCTATAGGAGCTAAAGACATGGAAAGTGCTACTTTGAGGAATTTCCTAAAATCTTTGATCAGGTTAGCATATTTACCTGTCATTAAGAACAGGCATTCCTGTTATTTCTCTGCTATACAACAAAAAACCCATCTGTTGTTGACCACACCATTCTAAGTTTCATGCTAAGCCTTCTAAATACATTTCCTCTTTCACTCCCTCAACAGTCCTAAAATGGAAATCCTGCTATTCCTGATCTACAGATAAGGAAACTGAGCTGTCAAGGTTAAGTCGCTTGGTAAGGTCAGACAGATAGTAAGTGGCACAACGATATGAAAATCCAATTCTGTCTGACTCTAAAGCCCATTTGTTGTTCACATTTCATGCTGGAATCAGAATTGATATCAGAATCAAGGGTATTTTTATAATGTACTATCCTTCATTGGCATCCTAAACAGATAGGATCAAATGATTTGATTAATCAGAAAAGGATTCTAGTTTATGGCTTAGCAGCTCTAGACTTCTTTTTATGAGTATGTCAAAAAGTACAAGGACCAGAGGAGGATGTGAATTACAAATAGGTTTTACTACTTTTAAAAGCAATTCGAGGAAGACACTAAAAAGAGTTTGATTTGTAAAATGAAATAAAATGTTCAAATTATCTGGATTTATTTTATCCATATGAGCTCTCTGTTGCTTTTGGTTAAGTATAAGTGAAAACAGAATGTGTCATAATAGCTGTAGTGCAGGAGAAATGGTTATAAATTGAAGTTTCGGAGAGATGGCGATGATTTGAATGATCGTTTTATACTGAGTCCCTCCCTACGAGGTATGAGAATTGTATTCAGAAGTACATTGTGGTGCTCATTGCATTTCCTTTTCGTTTCAGAATGAGGATAGCATAAGAAAATGCTATAATCAGCAGTTGGCTGATGCCATAGCTGTCGTCAAAGGAATGTACAAGGTGAGTTTTCAGTGCTGTCATGGGCGAGGCTGGCTCTCTATCCTGGGAGTGCACAGCATGGGGCTCACCTGGGGCTCCCCGTCTGTGTTTTTAGCTTTGAAGATCTGTTCCCTCAAATTTTCACGTTACCAAAGAGGGATCAGGCCTAAGACTGCTCACACTCACTTCAAATTCACCAAAATAACACGTTATGGTGACAGTTACGACTCTCCAGGGACTGGGAAATTCCAATCTGGGATTTAAAGCACCTGAGCAAGTGACAAAGTAATCCCAAGTTTGTTTGGTGAGCATGTAGTTGGATAAAAGAAGCTCAAGTGGTCTCAAGAGAGAGCTCACCAGGTCTCTAGTAAATGCTGCTGAGCGATCTCTGACCCTCGATGACGTAATTTTTTTAAGGCCAGCGACACTTCTATCTGCCAGACATGGTGCTTCACTCTCATCAATAATGGGAGTGTTCTTGGTTTTTGATTATTTTTTAGGCTTAGTAAAGATCTTGTGCTTGCTTCTTTTAGTATTTATAACTATAATCTTGTCTTTCATTTCAGTATGCTTCCGTAAAGAAATATCTTCTATTTACAGCAAATTGGGCAGTGATTGCATACTTCTTTTCATAACACTGAACACATTTGTGTTTAATTACGTAATTGCTTGTTACATGTCTCTGTCCTGTGCCAGACTGTAAGCCGTATGAGGGCAGGGATGTTGTCTGTCTTATTCACTGCTGTGCCCTGCCTGTTAGCACTGTGCCTGGTACGTCATTAGCAATCAGCTAATAATTGCTACATGAATGGATGGTTGCCTGTACCTGTGGCAGATACTGGTGACTCAACAGTCTTTCTCCCTCTTCCTTTTTTTATTAGCAGAAGCACTTCTTATTATAGAAGCCAATATGCTAGATCTTTCTTTCCCAGCTTCCTTTTCAGCTGTGGCATAAGTGTGGGCAAGGTCAAGTCCCTGACCAATGGGACCTGAAGGTAAGCTGGCTGTGAGGTTTGGGGAGGAGGTTATTCTTTCTAAGTAAGAGAGACTCATGGGAAGAAATCCCCTTCTTTTTCTTTGCTTGACATTGTTATGTTTCCTTCTGATGCTTGGGATTGCCACAGCCAACCTAAAACCAAGGACTGAGACATTCTGGATGTGCTAAGGATGGCAGAGTGGAAAGATGGAAAGCACTAGGATCCTTGATGACTCATTGAGCAACTGAAGTAACTCTGGACTCGCCCTGTGTCTGGCCCTTTTATTTCATGAGATAATAACCCCCTGAGTGTTTAAGTTACTGTTAGTTAGCTGTTCACTTACTTGCAGCTGAAACTATCCCAGGATGGGTTGCTCTGTCAACAATCTTGGTGACTCTGTGCCAAACTGTTTCCCAAGATGGCGGCAACACTATCTCCCACTCACCTGCTGTTCTGCAGTGTTACCTTGCTCCTCCCCCATCAAGAGCCGCAGCTGAGTCCCCTTCCCTGAATCTGCGCTGGCCTCAGTGCCTTGCTTGTATGTATAGAATGTGGAGGAAGTGATGCTACAGGACTTCTGAGGCGAGGTCCAAAGAAGCCTTGCAACTTCATCCTTCTGTTCTTGGAATGTTTGCTCTCTGGATGCTCCCTCTCTGGATCCAGCTGCCGTGTTGTGAGAAGCTCAAGCCATTTGGAGGAGCTGCATGTGGGTACTGGGTCCACAGGCTCAAGTGAGCCCAGCTTTGAAGTCATCCAGCCCCCAGCCAGTTAGTCTTTCATCTGAGGCCCCAGGCATTGTGGAGCAGAGACAAGCCGTCCCACTACACCTGCCCTAATTCCCTGACCTACTGAGTTTGTGAGCATGATAAACAGTTATTGTTTTATGCTACTAAGTTTGGGGAAATGTATTATGCAGCAATAAATACACACCTGGAACAGTATCCTTACACTCACATCAATAAGCAATTTCTTAATTACATTTGTTGGCTAGATTACTTCCCCAGTAGTTCTGCCAGCACAGAATAGCATCATGGCTAGGAGTTGGTATAGGGTGTGTTTTAGAACAAGGATTCCAGAGTCAGACTACTTGGGTTCAAATCCTGGCTCTGCCACTTAATTGCTAGGTGACCTGAGGCAAAATACTGAGCCTCTCTGCCTCAGTTTCCTCACCTGTCAAATGAGAATGACAGTAGTACCCACCTCGCAGATTTGTTCTGAGGAGGAAATGAATTGACCCTTGTGAGGCACTCACAATAGTGCCTGTCATGTGCTAAGTGCCATCTAAGTGTTTGTTAAATAAATAAGCACTTTACATATTCATGGCACTCCTTGGTGTTGGTGTCTTTTTCTGCTCCTTTGTTATCCTGTGTTAGTATTTAGGCTTGTAGCTTTCTGTCCACTGACTGTAGATTTCAGATATAAGAAAATGCCCTTAAGATGTCTGTAATCATTATCAATATTTATTATGTTTCACCATGTGAAATTGCCATTTATGGAGCTCAAAGGGTGAAATATCAGCAGTTTCATATGGCTCCACCCAATAAGCATACTTATTTTAACAAATAAAAGGCAGCGACAAACTACATAAAATATTAGGCTATGATAACTTTTAGTAAAACAAATTCATCTTCAATTTAACCAACACATGTCGAGCGAATATTGTGCGTTACGATATACTGGACGCTGACATTACAAAGATGAGGGAGGGATGAACTGGGGGCAAGGAGATTATAAACAAATCCTAACAATATAATTTGTACAGTGCAGAGATAAACATATGTACCAGGAGTTATAGGAGCACCACAGAGGGAGCAGTTATTTCTGCTGGGGTACTTTGGGAAGGCCTCACAGAGGAGGTGATATCTGTGCTGAGTTGTAAAGTAAGTACTCAGCTGGTGGACAAGAAATGGAAGAGATTCTAGATAGACAGCAGAGTGTATATTAGGATATTTTTAGTGGTAAGTGATAGAAATCTAAGTCACACTAGATTAGCTAAAAGGAGAACTTATTGACTCATGCAATTGAAAAGTTAGATAGTAATGACTTCAGGAAAAGTTGGATCTAGGTCCTCAAATAATATTATCAAGAAACTGTCCATTCCCTGCTTTGCCTCCTTCTCTGATGGTTTATTTCCCAGGCAGATTCTCTCCACGTGAGAGCAAACTCAGAGAGAATATCTCTTTCTAAATAATCCCTACAAGAGTCTCGAGATGGACTCTGGCCGAGTTATTGTCCCTTCATGCCCACCCAAGCCAAGCCGTAGTCACATGGCTCATCCCAGGGAATAATATCAAGGAGAGGGTTTACCCAAATGGAAGAGAGGGTCTGGTACCTGCAGGAGGGATGTTAGTCAAGCAAGTTAACTTCCCACTTCCAACAGCATGTGAAAAGGCAAGTAGGACCCAGTCAGAGAACCGCACACGGTCAGTGCTGCCAGCTGTTGCATTGCCCCATAGGGTAGCCACGAGCCATATGTGGCCAATGAAATTAAATTAAATTAAAAATTCAGTTCCTGGATTGCACTAGTCACAGATTACCCAGCAATATTCTGTGAAACTAAATAACTTAGGAGAATTAGGAAAGTTTGCACAGATATGTTTGATCTTATTATTTGTTTTATTTTTATATCTTTATTAATAATAGTAAAATAGCTCTGCTTTATTGGGTGCTTTCTTTGTGTTGGGCACCATACAAAGGGTTTAGATACATTATTTTATTCAGTCCTCACAATGAACAAGTAGCAAGAACTGGGCCCCAGATCGACTCTTCAGTTCCTGATGTGGCTCAGGGAGCGGTGTTGTTAACAACAGGAGCCATCTCACAGCTTCACAGTCCGACTTATGGTTCTTGCTAACTAGAAGTTATGCTGCCACAGAAGTGTCGTGCCGTATGGCTTATCCAAAATGTGGTTCCCAGAGATGAAGTCCAGTATCTTTTGCCTTGTTCAACCTCATGAAGTAAGCCTTCAAAGTTGGCACTAGTGTCCCCATTTGATAGTTCAGGAAACTGAGGCTCGGCGACATTTAGCACTCACTCAAGGTCACAGAGCTGGTCAGTGGTGAAGCTGGGAGTCCCGTTCCCATCTATGGCTCTGAAGTTCTTCTGTAGAGAATGGGAAATGCTTGAATTCTCTGAGCAGGAATAAGAGAGGTGCTTTCTTATCCTTTAGGCTGGTTACTCCTGGACAGTGGGAACAACACATGAGAGAAATGGAGACACAGACATGCGTTCTAGGAAGACAGAAACCACGAGGAGTCTTCTCAGTGCCTAGCACAGTGCTTGGGTTTTCATAAATGCTTACTGGAGGAAGACAGGAGGAAGAATGGGGAGATGAGCTTTATCTGTCCTTTAAGGCAGTGGGTTGGGTAATGGAGGGGAGGGAGAAAATGGAAGAAATTCTGCCCTAGATTAGAAGAATTAGAACATGGCACCGAATGCAACTTGTGGGGCCAGTTAGAATCCTAATTTGAACAAACCAACTGTTAAAAAAAAGTTTTGAGACACTTGGAGAAATTTTATTATGGACTAGTTATTAAACAATATTAAGAAACTCTGTTAATTTTGTTAGCATGGTGCTGGCATTGTGATATGTTAAAAATAAAAAGAGTTCCTAATTATTAGAGATGAACTGTGAAATGTTTAGGGATCAACGACATGATGTCTAGGATTCCTGTAAAAATACGTAAGCACAAAACGGGCAGATAAGTGGGAGGCAGACTATTATAGTTTTCCCTACTTTGGTGTATGTTTCATCATAAAAAAAGTAGACATGTTTGAAAAATGTAAGTTATTTCTTTAGCCCTCTTTCTTAAAGTCACCAGTGGTCTTATATGAGCTAAAGATGGACTCCAGGCTCCCTCACTTGGTCTGTGCCTACCAGACCTTCAGAGACCTGGCCCTGATCCCTGGGATCCCTGAGTTCTTTCTGCTGTAGCTTTTGAACCCTCAAATCTGCCGAGCGCATTCCTGTCGCAGAGTTAACGCCTGGAACCCTCTGGCCCCTATCTTCATATTGCAGCTCAAATGGTACCTCCGCACGTCTCC